CAAATGTTTAAAAAACAATAAAAATTATTTTGCAATTAGAAGTTGTGTTGATTATTATAAATTCACTGTAAGTGATTTCAGAATAACACTTCATTGGGTATTACATTCTCAGTCTTTACTGTATTGGAATGTCTTCTGCGGGGAGGTTACTCAGTTTAGACCATGAGTTGTTCTTTACTTTTTCAAAACTGAAATATGGGTTATGGCATAAAGGTCCTTTCAAGATAGTAATCCTATAGGAAAGTGTCTATTATCTCAATATTTGACCTCTTGAAACATCGTTTTTGGTTAAATATGCTGCAAATTAAACAGATGAATGCAATTTATTTACAGATATGTATTGATTTGTTTATAAATATTATGAAAAGTAGCTCAACAACCATAATGAAAACCACAGGTAATGTTTAGTAGAAAGTAATTTTTTTCAATTTTTTTATAGTATGGGTTCTGTTAGGTACAGTACAAACATATACATATGGTACCTTTTCATTAACAGCTTTAGTCTATAAAGAATAGCTACAATGCCTAATGAAAATAAAGAATCGGAACACCAATAGAGGGAATATTCTAGAATAAAATCAAAATGATCAAGGTGCTACTGATCATAGGTGCTTTAAGATTCTGCTTTTTTTGTTTGGTTTTGTTTTTATAATATTCTCCCTTCCACTACTATTTCCTGAAGCTGTGTTGGACAACCAGCTAGTAGACCAGGATTCCATTATGACATGACCAAGAAAACGTGATATATTCCATTCATAAATACAGTTTGTCCACATCTTTCTTCTTTATGATGGCCAAAGGCAACTGAGGCTAAATAGACAAAGAAGTGGGATTAAGGACAGAAAAGAAAGAGAAATATTGGCAGATGTGATAGAAGGAAGTAGAGAAAAGAATAAGATAAAGAGGATAAATAAACCTGTGTATGGCAGAAATCACAAGGCTTGTGGGGTTGGGCAGTATAGAAGCCACAATGGCATGAAAGAAATTTTGGGGTCACATATTTTACAAAGGATTAGATACCATTTTAACTTCCACAGAAGGTGGAAACACACAATTTCTATAAACATAAGGTTTATCTGCATTCCAAACACATTTTTTTTTCCAAGCCAATCTTCAAATTAGTTGTAATAAACTGTCTTTTAAAGGGTTTCATGAACCTCTACTTTCCTAGTGTTACGTAGATGAAGTAGTGAAAGACATCTTGTTCAAAGTATTTCCTCTTCATTCCTCAGAACTCCATTCTAGACACCCAGATAATTAGTTTGATGTAAACAGTGTTCAGGTTGAAGAAGTCCCTCAGTCAACGCATTATGTTTGCTTCTAGTTCTGGAACAAAGGCCACTATTTTTAATCATAGATAAATATTACTGATAGCAGGAAGTAGCTTTAAACTGTGTTCATTCTGTTCCTACAATTTACTATGCATCACTTGAAGGTTGGCTTGGTATAGTTCTTTAGATTCCTGCTCAAATGTAAACTCTTTAAAATATATCAGATTACTCTTCAGTTCTGACACAATTGACTGCTTTTTGAGACAATTTTACTCCATGACAGATAGAAAGATGTCACTCTTCTTGTAAGTGTTTGAGCATACTGTTGGTTCAGCTTTGTTGAATTTATCTACTGCCAGTCAATAGGTTTGACATTTTTCAGTGAAGTTGCTGACATCAGGCCTGTCCATGAAAGCAGTGGTATGGAGCCTACAAATACACCTGTATCAGATCTCTAGCATTCATGAAGAGATTTTACTACTTAGTGTTTGAGCTAATGTTAACTCCTTCAAACTGTAAAAAAAATTACTTGATCTGGATTATTCTTAAAAATAACCTGAATAATATGTGGTTTTACAGATGAGGAATTCACATGGGTGTCTCAACATTTTCATCCTTTCTTCTGCTGTCAGTCAAAAAATTAATGGAAAAATCATCGTGCATTTCATTATTTTTGTCCACATTTGAGCATATGAATTCAAAAAAGGTTTACCTATCTACAAGGGGACAAGGGTTCTCTGGAATTACAGACTTTTATATATAAATACATTTTAGTACAGTTCCAAAATCACAAGCAAAACCATTAAAATTTCTGTTTGAACTGTATAATCTAAAATATTAATGAAAATGGTCTATTGCTACATTGCTACATCAAAGTCCCAGATAACACTGTTAGGTAATGTCTATTGCTAGGGCAGTGGTAAGAGGAAGGTGCTCTTTGCTTACTTTTAAAATGCCTTATAAAGGTGATTGATAGGTGTCACTTATGTTCTAAACTAGAAACCCACTACGTATCTACAATCTATCTGTGGAAGCATCAAAGTTCTCAAAAACAGGTACTTAAGTCCTCTTGAATGTCTTTCTGAACTTCATCAGAACTTCAATGTTTACAGATAGGCACTGTTGTGGAACAGAAGACATTTTCCTGAGATGTGTGACTGGAAAGGTTGAAAAATATGTCATGTGGAGAATGACTTAATGCAGTTTTGACTTTTACCAACTTAGAAGACATTCAGGGCTAATAATGAAAACAGTCAGGAGCCAGCTGAGCTGACGGAGCATTATAAGATTCAATGTTGTACTATGATCATAACTGGTTGGATGGTGTGATGCTGTAGAACAAAGTTGATGAATTTACAGGGCAACTTTGAGGAGACCTTCAAAACAGGTGCTGATTCCTCTCGATGGCACTTTCCTCCTTGGCAGTGGTTGTGTAAGAGCTGTTTTGCCATCAACTCACTTCTTTCTTTCAGCTGTGAGCAATGGCAGTGCAAGCTGCTATCAGCCCTGAGGTAACTCCACCAGACCTCCAAGCTTTATCAGATGGCTAGGGCAGTGTGGAAAAAAAAAAAATCATTAATTCTCACCAACAACATAGAGCAACAGTGTTGGAGAAGCTTTTGGCTTGAGTTGTTGACTGAAGCCTGTGTCTCCGGGAGGGACCATTAGGAAGAAATTAGATGTATTTATTGTGACAATAAAAGATAGAAAACTTCTGGTCGCTCCCACACATGAAAGTTATTAACCGAACTCATCAAGGGTGGCAAAGGAAGGCGCCAGCCCTTAAGAGCAACGCTGCTCTGCAAGCTCCCCGGGCTGGATCCCGCGGGAAGATCCTCGCTCCAGGCTGGAAATGGCGCCAGCGGCTTGAACCCGGTTCCTTGAGCAGGCGAGGGGCTCTCTCCAGGGGACACTGCTCCGCGTGGTTGACGTGAATTGATACCGGCTAGAGAGGGCATTTGCTCGCTCTCTCTCCCTCTTCTGGGCAGAGGAGAATGAGTAAATGGGGCAGAGCGGGACCAGCGCGCACGACGGGAGGCTGAGCTTCCCAGGTCCTCGAAGGAGCGGGCGTTGAGTGCCATGGCCAGCGCGGGGGGAAAGAGCCGCGCAAGGGAAGTGCGCATCCTCCATTTTGGCGGAGGGCGGGCGGAGAGCTTGGCGCCTGGCCGCCGTCGCCGTCCGCAGCACTCCTCTCCACCCCGCGGCGCTGCCGGGGGGCACCCGGCTCCTCTTCCCGCGGGGAGCCGGGCAGAGCCGCTTCAAATGGACGCCCCGCTGCGCCTCCCGTTGGTTCGAATTGGTCCCAAACTCCCCGCAGCAGCTTCCGACAAAATGGAGGACGCCACCACTGCTACCACCACCACCAGCTCCTCCAGGAGCCATGTCGGCGGCTGACATGGCGCCCTCCCCCGCAGCGGGAGGGGGCAGGAGGGCGTCCTAGGGCGAGGGCGGCGAGGAGGCGCTGCTCGGCGGGGCAGGCTGCGGGGGCGCGGGCGAGGCGCCCTCCCGGGGATGCGTGCGCTCTCTCCCTTTCCCCTGGGGGAGCGCTTCCATTATCCACGCTCTATCCCTCATGGAAATGGCCCCAGGCTCAAAGCCCAGCCAAGGGGGAAGAGCGGGGTGGGACTTCTCGGAGGGCCACGGGAGAATCCCGCCAGCCCTGCCGCTCAGCGGCGGGGGAAGAGGTGAGCCCGCGACCGGGGCTGTGGGCGCCCACAGGGACGGAGCGCAAGGCTGGGATGGGCAGCGCAACCTCCCCGCCGGCGGAGCGCGGCCGGCCCGGCGGCGGCGGCGCAAACTTCTGCAAGTTGGTGCTGTCAAAGAGCTGCGCGGGCAAAGCGAGCGCAGCCCTCGGACCCGGGCAACGCGCCGGTGGGCAACGATCCGGGTTCCTCAAACCTGATGGATCAAAGTGGGAAGAACCCCGAGCGTGGCCAGGAGGAAGATTGGCAGTTTATAGGGTCAACCGGCTGCGGGCGGCTCTGACGGATGGGCGGCCCACCCACTCCACTAGTCCAGCGCCAGAGCCCGCCCTCTGGAGGAGCCAATGGCGGGGCAGGAAGGAGGATCTCCCCCGAGCTCGTTTGGCCCGGTTCCTCCTCCCCTTCGCTAGCAGCTGCGCTTCGCCCGGGACTGGACCGAGTTAGAGTTGAGACGCCGGAGGAGTAGCGCAGAGTGCGTGCGTTCCCTGCGGCGGGGGGGGGCGGGGGGGGGGGTCCGTGCCTGCGAGCGCTGGGGAGCCGGGTAAGGTGGGGGTGCGGGGTGCTGCGCCCCGGGGGCGGGCTGGCGGGCGGTTGGCGGCGCGGAACTGCCCCCAGGGCGGGGATGGGAGAGCAGCCGCCGTGCCTCCGAGCTACCCGGGGCTAAGTACCCCCCGGTGCCGCCGCCACCTCTCGTGGAGGCGGAGCGGGGCGCGGGCAGCGCTGGCGGCAGCCCCGCGGGTAACCATCGTGGCCCGGAGGTGGGCGGAGGGGGGGTGGTGGTGGTGGTAAACGAGGGGTGCTCGGGGGCAGCCCTAAGGGGGGGGGCAGGGGCATTTGGGGGAAGGGCCGGGTCTGCCTTAGCGCCTCCTATTTTAACTCCCTCCCACCCTTCCCCGCCGGGCCCTCGGCTGTTGTTCTGCCCCGATGCCTCCCCCACCCACCGCCCTCGCTGCCCGCCTCCCCCACCCCCCCCCCCCCACGCCCCCCTCGCGGGTGCCTCCCTCCCCTCTCCTGCCCGGCGCGGCGCTCCGCGGATCCTGCCGCCGTCGCTGCTCCCCTCCCGTATTGTTTGGCTGGGTCTCTCTAATGGCGGACAGGAGGCGGCAGTGCTGCTCGCCGACTGCAGGGGGGCAAACCCGAGGCTGGGGGCAACTGCCACGGGAGCGTGCGGGGGGCCGAGGCGCTTGCCTGACGCGGAGGCGCCGCCGCTGAGAGCCCGGCGACCCCCCGGGGCGCCGGTTCAGGGCTGCTTAGGCAAGTTAGCAGGTAATATTCTGTCCCCGCCGTGGGTGCCGCCGCTGCCTTTTCTCCCCCCGCACTCGCGCGGAGAAGCCCCCGGTGCAGCAGCGCCCGGGGCGGCTCCTTGTCCCCCCCCCTCCTTCAGCGAGGGCAGCCGGCGTGGGTGTGCTTGGGGAGTACCCCGCCGCCCCCGGGGAGGGCAATTTTTATTTATTCATTGATTTAAAGGGTTGGGAGGGCTGGGATCCAGGGGAAGTGGTGGGTGATGCAGGCTGTACCTGGCCTGGCCAGGCAGAGGAAACGCTGCTTGGGGGCGCTGCTTGCTCCTCGCTGCCCCGTGTTAACCCCGTGTCTTTCCCTTAGGCTCCAGCCCAGTTTGGTGCAGCCTTGGCAGAGACCAACAAGGAGAGGGAGCTCCATTGTGAGTGCTATTTATGTATCTATTTCTGCCTCTGCTAGACCTGCTTAGGGAGGGCTTGACACCCCCCCTCCCCCCCCCATTCTCCGGGGGCAGGGGTAGAAGGAGGGGCCTCCAGGGTTGGGTGGGGAAATTCCTGGGTCCAGCAGCTGCTGCCCTGGGGCGAAGCCCCAGTAATGGCTGTGAGGCGGCTCCTCCTCGGGGTGGGCGCTGCTGCTGCAGACATCGCTCCTGCAATACCAACTCCGGCAAGCAGACGACGGGCTGCTGCCGCTGCTCACGTTACCCGACTCAGGAGGGAGGGGGAGGGCATATTTCGGGTGCCCTCTAGAGTTTTAGAGCGTGTATTAAAATCCTTGACGAGACACCCTGAGCCATCTTTAAATTTCTCCCCTCCCTGTTTCTCCAATCCCGTGTTCTGCATATATTGAAGCTAAGAAGAGGAATGAGAGGTTTAAAATAACCCAGCAATTTGCGGCATTTACTCCAGCATCTCTCCTTTGTGCATTCAGACTGTTTCTTCACACCCGTGGATTTGTTTGGGTGATTTTGTTGGGCGCCATTGGCAGCTTGTGCATATTGGTGGGGCTTCCAAGCCATCTGCTTTGCCCCTTCCCCAAAAAGCTGGAGCTCACTGGGGAGACCTGCAGCTACTTAACAGTGATTATTTTTGGTGTTTCATCTGTGGGATTTTCAGAGCAGATTGTGATCTCTGTTGGGTGTTAGGTCAGGTAAGGAGAGGTTGATTACCAATCCCTGTCTGTAGGATTGGGATGTAATTTGATGCTGGTTTGTGCCCCTTTTAATATTTTTTTTTTTTTTTCTTGCACGGGGAGGGGGATTCTGAAATCACAAAGTAGCGCAGCGAAGGAGAAAGTCAGGCGATGTGTGCCTGGGGAGAGGTTCAGGAGCTCTGGAGTTGGGCTGCGGTGGCCACCCGCAGGCTGTCGCCGCTAGAGGCAGCCGGCCCCGGCAGGTCTGTGGGTAACGTGCAGCCGGAGAACAAAACAAAAAGGCAGCGCCTGTCTTGCGCTCTTGGTTCCTCACTTGTGCACAAGAGGGATTCAGGTGTTGTAGTCTTCCCCACCACCTGTATCTTGAAATATATATATATATATATATATATTTTTTTTTTTTTTCTTTCTTTTTCCTCCCTTGCCATTCTACATAGTAGATTTGCCTAGCTTGCAACTTACTTTGTCACTTTTTGGTGGTTTACATATACAAAGAATAAGTGGTTCTCTGCAAAACCTCGTTGCCTAGGAGGAAGGCATCAGATTTGGGTTTATTCTGAGCTTCTGAAATTACCAACTTCGTGAAAGATGCTAAGAGTTTGTATGCCCTGTTATCATTAATAAAGTGATCTGTACTAAACCTTGACTTACTACCGTGTAATTTTAAAATCTTAATTGTGATTTTTTTTTTTTAACTCTTTACTGTGTCATGAATCTAAGGTCACCATCTAATTTTACTTTGATTCATTATACATTCCAGTCTAACAGCTGTTCGCCTTTTTCTGATGCTTCTTCATGTTCAAAAAGTTACTTCTGAGAGTGATCAAGGCAAATAATGCTTCAGAAGGAGGGAGGCTGTTATGCTGGAAGGGAGTGAAAAAGGATGTGTATTGGAGCTGGTTTGAAAAAATTATTGCAGCTTTGTGTGTCTGCCTATGAAAAGATGAGAATACTGCCAAGAACAGCTGTATAGCTAAGATTCAGTAAACCTCAATAAGCAGTTGCCAGCTGGTTTGTGAATTACACTAACATCTTGCACAAAAGCATCCTAGTAGATGGCACATTGTCCTTCTCCAACTGTGGTGGTGGTGATACAGCCTTTTCTCTAGCACATGACTGAGGGTAAAAAGTGTATCCTATGGCATGTGATAGGCCGTGCTGTTGAGTGAGGGCATGTATTTTCGGTGCCTACTGCTGCAGGGTCAGCTCTAGGAACCAATCTCTGAAGCCACAGTTTGTGAAATAAGGGTAATGATGGGACATTATTAGGTAGTTAAACTAAATAACTTTTTTTTAATAAAACACTGTCTTAATTAGAGTATCTAATAAATTTGCCTTGTATTATTGTTGTTAATCCTCTTTGACCACAAATATATGATTGCATTCTACTGTTACTTACCCTGGAATAATATGTTAAGAGGGATTTGCATTAGCAAGAATGTACAAATGCCAGTGAAAAAGCGAAAGCAATTTTCTTTGTCTTCTACAGAGCTTGTTCAAGTATACAGAGGGACATGGGACCAAAACTGGTAGAACCTTTTCCAGATTTTTGCTGGCTTTCTTTCATTTTTTTTTTTTTTTGTCCAGCAATATCATGAATGGTCTTGCATTGTTACAGTACTTTTTCATTTTGCTTTTGAGGGCTAAATACAGAATTACTGAAGTTATGTCCTCTTGTGTCAGAGTTTACAACCAGTTGATATACTCTGCAGCAAAAGTAGAATGAATTCTGTGAAGATTTTATATCAAGTATTATTACCAATGGAAAATCCACTGTTTATGGAGAACTATTTCTTTTTTCCAGAGGACATGTACATCACAAGTAACAGTGAACACAACCTAGCTTTGGAAAGGGATTGAAATTTGAGTTCAGAGGAGTTCAAAAGATTATTAAGATGCCTCTTGTGAGATGTTTGAGGTAATACTTGCCTCATGAGGCTCTTAAAGCCCTGTATGCTACAGGATTTTTGTTGTCTGCTGAAATTGTTGAGTTTAACTCAACAGTTGAAAGCGCTTTTTTTATGACTTCTTTTTAACTTAGTTTCAGTGATTGAATCCTATTAGGTGAATGCTCTAGGATAACTGGGTTTCTGAAAGCCTTAGAGTTAGAGGAAACTTAGTTTTTGTTCCATATTTGTAGGCTACCCTGCGTGCTGCTGGCAAATATGGCTGGCAGTAGATGCTAACTTGGTGTATAAATGATCGTTTCCATTTACCTGCTAGTATTAAAATTCTTCATTTTGAACTAAGATTTGTAAGTTTGTCAGGTAGTGTTTTGTACTTCTAAGAGAAATTTTAGGTAGAAGGGAGCAGCGTGAGACTTTGGGAACACAGTTGTGTGGTATGTCCTCTTCAACTATATTGATTTTTATATCACAGTTTTCCAGCTGCACAGTGGCTTCCAGCCCCTCCTATTTGTTACCCATGCTGTGTGCATTGATGTAGGTACGCTTCAGTTGGGCTATTGATTCTGATGCTTTTTCTGGGGCAGAAGCCCCGATTCCTGTGTGACTCTTCCTAGGTGCATCTGTGGTTTCTAATGCATCAACAAACCTTGGGTCTTTGCTGCTGTATGGATCACCATCCTTTACCCCCACTGAGATGGCTAAGGAACATTTATTGCTGCTCTGGTTGGCTTGGCTGAATATGAGCCAGCGGTGTGCCCAGGTGGCCGAGAAGGCCAATAGCATCCTGGCTTGTATCAGAAATAGTGTGGCCAGCAGGACTAGAGAAGGGATTGTCCCCCTGTACTGGGCACTGATGAGGCCGCACCTCGAATCCTGTGTTTGGTTTTGAGCCCCTCACTACAAGAAAGACATGGAGGTGATGGAGCATGTCCAAAGAAGAGTAATGAAGCTCCTGGAGGGTCTAGAGCACAGGTCCTGTGAGGAGCAACTGAGAGAACTGGGGTTGTTTAGCCTGGAGAAAAGGAGGCTCAGGGGAGACCTTACCTCTCTCTACAGCTACCTGAAAGGAGGCTGTACTGAGGTGGGTGTTGGTCTCTCTTCCCTCGTAACAAGTGACAGGATGAGAGGAAACAGCCTCAAGTTTGTGCCAAGGGAGGTTTAGACTGGGTGTTGGGAAAAATTTTTTCACTGAAAGGGTTGTCAAGCATTGAAACAAGCTTCCCAGGGAAGTGGTTGAGGCACCTTCCCTGGAGGTATTTAAAAGATGTGTAGATGTGATGTTTAGGGACATGTTTTAGTGGTAGTCTTGGCAGTGTTAGGTTTATGGTTGGACTCCATGATCTTAAGGGTCCTTTCCAACCTAAATGATTTTGTGATTTCAACACCACTTATTTATATTTATTTTGGTTGGGCGATTGAAGGCTTTTGTTTTCTGTGGTCTTCCAGAAATTACTAATTTTAAGACAAAACCCATATTTATTCTGTGAAACTGTGTGACACTAGAGTTCAACAGGATTCACACACGAAAAAATGATTATATGTTAATATAGGTGAGAACATCAACAGTTGCAATAGATGAGATCAATGACTGTCCTTTATAGACAGGTTAGATTATAACTGTCCACAGAGGGGTTCTCATGTTTTCACCTGACCTATCTCATGGATTGGACATGTCAATGATGAAAGTTGGTTTTGGTCCAATTTGCTATCAGAACAAAATTATTTGAATTGATGATTATAATACAGGTGACATTCAGATTTTACTAGTCCAACACAGATAAAATTAACAGACATTATTAAAATTAACAGACATTATTCAGTGTTGTGGTCAACTGAGAGTCTCTAGTGACACGATTGCTCCCAGTGTATTTTTCAAATTGCTCTGTGTTCGGAGGGTGTTTATACTTTGTAAGTTTGTCCTAATGCTTAAGCACTCCATCTTTGTGTTGCCCAAGGTTTTTGGAGCTGCTTTCACTATAACTTAATTCTCTGCCCCTTCCACCATCAGCCACGGAGAATAATCTGATGGGAGTGGCAGGTATTCATCGCTGAGGCAGGGGTGCAGAAGCAGATGCTCAGTGCTCCAGAGTAGCTGCCATAATGGTTTGAAATGTACTTGGGCATTACCAGTGCCCTCCCCAACTATGTTGAGTGTCAGTAGCACAAGAGGATTGTGGTGTTTTGTTTGCTTTGTTTGTCTGTGATGAGAATACTTAATCATGCATTGCTGTTGTGCAAAAAGGATGGGTTTAGGTCTCTGAAATACTTAACACTTAATACGTTACTGGTTTACCTAAAATAAATGAAATAGGCACTTTGTACTTAACTGCATATAAAAATTCATAAACTTTTTCCTGAACTC